GGAGGAATATAGCAAATAATATTGTTGCAGTAATAACACCAGGAGGCAGCCCTGATGAAAACTCACACTCACACGAACTTTTAAATCTCTGCACAAAATTCAATTTAAACCAGCAAATAATAGAGCCTACTAGACTGGAGAATACACTAGACCTCATCTTCACTAACAATGATGACCTGATAAGAAATGTCACCATATCAAAAACAATATACTCAGATCACAACATAATTGAGGTTCAGACATGTATGCGCGGAGCCCCAGACCGACATAATGAGACTAGTCACGAGGGAGCATTCACCAAATTCAACTTCAATAACAAAAACATAAACTGGGACCAAGTAAACCAAGTCCTAACCGATATAAGCTGGGAAGATATACTAAGCAACACAGACCCCAACTTATGCCTAGAACAGATTAACTTGTAAGTAAGTTTATTCAGGTATACACAAATACAGTTACATAGAATTATCATACATAGCAGCATACGTGTAGAGAACCTAGGATAACCCAAAAAGTGACTTATTTCCATTGGGGTCCTTTTACCTTATTATTATAATATAAAGGTTATAATATTTTCTTATTATTCTACAATGAAGATAACATCTTATTGTCATACTAAAAAGACTATCTACTACACGAGGGTCATTAAGACTACAATACGAGGGTCATTACTAGGAATAAGGTAAAATTTACACGTATGTTAGCTAAAAAATAGAAAATCATTCCCCTCCCTTTCTGTAGCTACATTCATCAGACACCTTTTGGCACTCTTCTTGAACTGGTTCATGCTATGACTGGCTTTGACATGAGCGGGTAGTCTGTTCCATTCCTTTATTGCTGTACAATAAAAGGTGTTTGAAGCCTGGCCAATGACTGTGGGCACTACAAAGTTGTGCTCTCCCCCCCTAGTACTATGATTGCTTTGGTTCCCAACCTTGACAAAATTGACAGCAAGATATTCTGGACACTCTTTGTGAGCAATTTTATAAACATGATTTAGCTTCAGTTGTTTTACTCTGTCTTCAACATTCAGCATATCCAACTGCTGGTGGCACTCGATGTATGCACAAGGCTTATTCCTCTAAGACAGTGGTTCCCAAACTTTTTCAGCTTGTTACCCAATTTAACATGCCACATAAAGCATGTTACCCCTTTCACAAAATGTTGTTATTATTGATATATATGGCTAAACGTGAACGTATACAGCCTCGCATACTCTGCTAATCCTAGCAAAACCATTGAAAACGTAAGAACCACACATACATTATATATAAAATTAATAATAGCTACAAATTCACAGTAACAGTGGGTAAATACTAACTATATACTGCACAGGGCAGTACACATACATACCAGCTTATGTCTACCTCGGCTGATGCTCACAGATAAACTGACAGTGTGAAATAGAGGCAGCCTCAGGAAGTGAGTGACGCGTACTGGACAGGTCGATCTGGGCTACTGAGTGACTTTTGTCCTGAAGCATACTTGTCAAAATACTTTTGGGTTTCCACACACTTAGCTATATATTTCTTCTTTTCTAATACTGTATATTAGTTTTTGATGTTTATTGTTATTTGGTTTAACTTTATTACTTACTTATAATAGGTTCACTTTACAACTTTATATACTAAGACAAAGTTAACAATAATCCTCATACCGGGTACCGCATTGTTTTCTTGATTTTCAGAATTCATAACTTTTTTCTGTCACCCCTCCATTACCCCCCAAAAATGGTTAAATTACCCCCAGGGGGTAATTTACCCCCAGTTTGGGAACCACTGCTCTAAGAAAAAGGGGGAGTAGATGTAAAATAGAAAGAGACAGGCGCTCCCTTTACAGGCGACGGAAAAGAATAACAGAGCGGCTAAAAGAGGTCAATATATCTGAAATGCGTAGGGAGACACTGGTCAGAGAAATAGCAAGCATCGAACTTAAGCTAAAGGAATCTTATAGGAGTCAGGAATCGCGGGAAGAACTAAAAGCCATAAATGAAATCGAAAGAAACCTAAAGTATTTCTTCTCCTATGCCAAATCAAACTCGAGAACAACGTCCAGTATTGGGCCCCTACTTAAACAAGATGGATCCTACACAGATGACAGCATGGAAATGAGTGAGCTACTCAAGTCCCAATATGACTCAGTTTTTAGCAAGCCGCTAACCAGACTGAGAGTCGAAGATCAAAATTATTTTTTTATGGGAGAGCCACAGAATTTGGTTAACACAAGCCTATCCGATGTTATCCTGACGCCAAATGGCCCGGTGGCCTGGTGGCTAAACCTCCCGCTTCACACACGGAGGGCCCGGGTTCGATTCCCGGCGGATGGAAACATTTCGACACGTTTCCTTACACCTGTTGTCCTGTTCACCTAGCAGCAAATAGGTACCTGGGTGTTAGTCGACTGGTGTGGGTCGCATCCTGGGGGACAAGATTAAGGACCCCAATGGAAATAAGTTAGACAGTCCTCGATGACGCACTGACTTTCTTGGGTTATCCTGGGTGGCTAACCCTCCGGGGTTAAAAATCCGAACGATATCTTATCTTATCTTAACAGGCGATTAATGACATGCCCATGCACTCTGCCCCAGGGCCAGACTCATGGAACTCCGTGTTCATCAAGAACTGCAAGAAGCCCTTATCACGAGCCTTTACCATCCTATGGAGAGGGAGCATGGACACGGGGGGTCGTCCCACAGTTACTAAAAACAACAGACATAGCCCCACTCCACAAAGGGGGCAGTAAAGCAACAGCAAAGAACTACAGACCGATAGCACTAAAATCCCATATCATAAAAATCTTTGAAAGGGTCCTAAGAAGCAAGATCACCACCCATCAGTTACACAACCCAGGGCAACATGGGTTCAGAACAGGTCGCTCCTGTCTGTCTCAACTATTGGATCACTACGACAAGGTCCTAGATACACTAGAAGACAAAAAGAATGCAGATGTAATATATACAGACTTTGCAAAAGCCTTCGACAAGTGTGACCATGCGTAATTAGCGCACAATGCGTGCTAAAGGAATAACAGGAAAAGTCGGTCGATGGATCTATAATTTCCTCACTAACAGAACACAGAGAGTAGTCGTCGACAGAGTAAAGTCCGAGGCAGCTACGGTGAAAAGCTCTGTTCCACAAGGCACAGTACTCGCTCCCATCTGTTCCTCATCCTCATATCCGACATAGACAAGGATGTCAGTCACAGCACCGTGTCTTCCTTTGCAGATGACACCCGAATCTGCATGACAGTGTCTTCCATTGCAGACACTGCAAGGCTCCAGGCAGACATCAACCAAATCTTTCAGTGGGCTGCAGAAAACAATATGAAGTTCAACGATGAGAAATTTCAATTACTCAGATATGGTAAACACGAGGAAATTAAATCTTCATCAGAGTACAAAACAAATTCTGGCCACAAAACAGAGCGAAACACCAACGTCAAAGACCTGGGAGTGATCATGTCGGAGGATCTCACCTTCAAGGACCATAACATTGTATCAATCGCATCTGCTAGAAAAAATGACAGGATGGATAATGAGAACCTTCAAAACTAGGGAGGCCAAGCCCATGATGACACTTCAGGTCACTTGTTCTATCTAGGCTGGAATATTGCTGCACACTAACAGCACCTTTCAAGGCAGGTGAAATTGGTGACCTAGAAAATGTAGAGAGAACCTTCATGGCGCGCATAACGGAGATAAAACACCTCAATTACTGGGAGCGCTTGAGGTTCCTAAACCTGTATTCCCTGGAACGCAGGCGGGAGAGATACATGTTTATATACACCTGGAAAATCCTAGAGGGACTAGTACCGAACTTGCACACGAAAATCACTCACTACGAAAGCAAAAGACTTGGCAGACGATGCAACATCCCCCCAATGAAAAGCAGGGGTGTCACTAGCACGTTAAGAGACCATACAATAAGTGTCAGGGGCCCGAGACTGTTCAACTGCCTCCCAGCATACATAAGGGGGATTACCAACAGACCCCTGGCAGTCTTCAAGCTGACACTGGACAAGCACCTAAAGTCGGTTCCTGACCAGCCGGGCTGTGGCTCATACGTTGGTTTGCGTGCAGCCAGCAGTAACAGCCTGATCAGGCTCTGATCCACCAGGAGGCCTGGTCACAGACCGGGCCGCGGGGGCGTTGACCCCCGGAACTCTCTCCAGGTAAGTAAGTAAGTAAGTTAGTAAATTTATTCAGGTATACACAAATACAGTTACATAGAATTATCATACATAGCAGCATATGTGTAGAGAACCTAGGATAACCCAAAAAAGTCAGACAGAGTGACTTATTTCCATTGGGGTCCTTTGGTAATGATTAGATTGGATAAATCCTCTGTTCTACACAAGCTAGAGAGTAGGTACTACTGGGTGGAGGTTGCTAATACTAGCTTGCTAGGAAGTTAGTACCTAGGATATTGGTATAGTCAATGTAGGTCGCTAATATTAGCAATCTAGTGAGTTGGCACTACTGGGTGGAGGTTGGTAATATTAGCTGGCTTTACTAGTGAGTATAGGTAGATAATTTTAACCAGGTAGGGGAGTTAGTACTAGTGGGTAGAGGTCGCTAATATTAGCCAGTTAGTACTAGTGGGTAGGGGTCGTTAATATTAACCAACTACGGGAGTTGGTAGTAGTGGAAAGAGGTTGCTAATATCAGCCATTTAGAAAATTTGGTACTAGTGGGTGGAGGTTCCTAATATTAGCTAACTAGGGAGTTGGTACTAATGGGTAGAGGTCACTAATGTTAATCAGATAGGGAGTTGTACTAGTGGGTAGAGGTCGCTAATAGTCATCTTGGGAGTTGGTACTATTGGGAAGAGGTCGCTAATATTAGCAATTTAGGGTTTTTTTTCTAGTGGGTAGAGAAAGATAATATTAACAATGTAGGGAGTTGGTACTGTTGGGTAGAGAAAGCTAATATTAGCACTGGAGTTGGTACTAGTGAGTAGAAGTCGCTAATATTAGCCGACTAGGGAGTTGGTATGAGTGGCAGCAGCAGCAGCCACAGTATACCTTAGTAAGAAAAGAGAGGAAGACGTTGGATAGTATTGGTATAAGAGAGAGAGTATCATGGCGAGTAACGGAGATTTAATCTTTAACCCGGCCCAGAGAGTGGCTAAAGTATCTCACTGTTCTTCTATGGAACAATATAAACAATTGTATGAGAAATCTCTCAAAGAACCGGAAGCCTTCTGGGGAGATATAGCTAAGAATTTTCATTTTGAAGAGGATGTGACAGGGAAGTTCCTGGACTATAATTTTGATGCATCTAAGGGGGAAATATATATTAGGTGGATGGAGGGTGCGAAGACCAATATATGTTACAACTGCCTGGATGTTCATGTGCTGGCTGGGAAGGGTGACCAAGTGGCCTTCTACTGGTGAGTGAAAATAATCAATGAAGTCCTTCATAACTGATGCAGCCCCTACCCAAGCCCTATCCTGTTCTTTTTCTTATTTTAATGAAATGTGCGCCTGCTATCTTCTTTTCAGGGCATGTGAGTAATGTATCGAAAACCAAATGCCTAGTTATAGTTGCTCTACAGGTAAATACAATTATTTCTTTTTCTACAGTACATAGGTAATGTAGTTTACATGTAGTAAACTATTGTTGGGCACAAAAGAAAGACACTAGCATGCAGTGCTTTGCTTTCTTGTGTTGTGAATACCCTTGAGGGATAAGATAAGATTTGTTTGGATTTTTAATCCAGAGGGTTAGCCACCCTGGATAACCCACGAGAGTCAGTGCGTCATCGAGGACTGTCTGTCTTATTTCCATTGTGATCCTTCAGTCTTGTCCCCCAGGATGCCACCCACACCAGTTCACTAACACCCAGGTACCTACCTACTGCTAAGTGAACAGTGACAACAGGTGCAAGGAAACATGCCCAACATTTCCACCTGTACCAGCGTTGGCAACCGAGCCACAGGTCCTATACCAAGTTACGGGTCCTATACCAAGTTTTGGGTCCTTTACCTAGCCATGGGTCCAGTACTGGGCCACAGGTCCTTTACCGAGCCCTGGATCCTCTACTGAGCCATGGGTTCAATGATAAGATAAGATAAGATTTCGTTCGGATTTTTAACCCCGGAGGGTTAGCCACCCAGGATAACCCAAGAAAGTCAGTGCGTCATCGAGGACTGTCTAATTTATTTCCATTGGGGTCCTTAATCTTGTCCCCCAGGATGCGACCCACACCAGTCGACTAACACCCAGGTACCTATTTGCTGCTAGGTGAACAGGACAACAGGTGTAAGGAAACGTGTCGAAATGTTTCCACCCGCCGGGAATCGAACCCGGGCCCTCCGTGTGTGAAGCGGGAGCTTTAGCCACCAGGCCACCGGGCCCTTGTTGATGATGTTAGGCGAGGGGCTCTTAATTTAAGAAATAGGTCATGTGCTCCAATTCCTTGAATCAAATTTGAATACCTTCAATTTCCCCAAGCACTGTATGATCCCTATGGATTTAGTGCTCCCCATGTATGTAATAAATAACTTGGTTATGACTAAACCAGTGATATAATAATTTTTTCTTTATTTGCTAAAAATAATTTTAATTTATATACACTTGATGCAAATTAAAGGACCAAATATGCTAAACAGCACCTAACAGATAAGGTGAAGAATTGCAGAAATGAATTTAACCAAACTTTGAAAATTACTGGAGTATACCTGGTAACAGTTCTGGGGGTTAACACCCCCACAGCCCAGTCTGTGTCCAGGCCTCATGGTGGACCAGGGCCTGATCAACCAGGCTGTTACTGCTAGCCGCACACAATCCAACATACGACCCACAGCCTGGCTGGTCAGGTACTGACTTTAGGTGCTTTTCCAGTGCCTGCTTGAAGACATCATAGTAAATAAATTATAAATAATAATAATTTCTACAAGTACATGATTCGACTGTTACAGATCTACCTGATATCATTGGCATACTATATAGAAAGCCCCTGGTTATGCAGAGCATTTTGGGTAATTTAGGTTAATCTTGCTCTCCAGGGTGCAACCCAAAACAGACTGCTAACACCCAGGTTCCTGCTTACTGTTAGTGAACAGGGGCAGGTGTAGGGAAACCATGATCAGCATTTCACCTGTATTTAATCCTAGTCCTGGCATATAATTATACCCATTAGTACCAGCTCCTAGCATATAATAATGAGTACAGCATGACTAACTTTTTTTCAGTTATAAGTATGATTAGACAAGTGCAAATAGTGTATTGGATATTACAGGCAGTCATTATTAAAGTTAAACCAGATACAGCCTCTCCTCACTCAGTGACGTACTCGTTTACTGATGGCTCAGACTTATGACGAGCTCTCTGACCATTATGCATACCTAAATAATGTGTATTAGAGCTGATTTCCTCTATTCTGTTTATTACAATATAGTATAGTACACTGCTGTATAAACATTTAAAAATATACCAGAAATGTTATAAATGGTGCATAGGTGACTTTAAAACAATATCAAAGATGGTTGACACAAACCCACTGCCATTATAGTATGCTCCTCACTTAGCAAGGAATTTGTTTACCAACATGGTCTTAGGAACTGAACTCCATCGTTAAGTGAGGAGAGGCTATAGTACAATTTACAATAGTACAGTTTTGAGTGTGTATTAATACTTGAAACTAATTTAGTGATCGTAAGTTAATTTTGATTTATTAAGGGATTCAGGGAAACCAGCAGGCAGGATTTGATTCCTGAAGATGAGAAGTACAGTGCCGGCACTCTGAAGGAAGGGTGTTAATGTTGCAGTTTTATAACTGCATTATTATTAATACTACATTGTAGTATAAATACCTACCCAAAAACAATACTGCCTTACACCCAGTTGTAGCATTCTCATACTGTAAACTACTTTCAGCAACTCACAATCTTATATTCCCATAATATAATTTTAATATTTATTACTGAAACTATTGTAATTAGAGTAAAATTAATGTCAACTATAAATAAAAAAAAGATCTACAACTTAAACAAACTATGATCAATTTCTTTAGTATTAAGTAGTCTGTAAGCCATTAAATTAACCCTTTGACTGTCGCAACCCCAAATCCTGAGGTGTCTCCTGGTGTTGCAAAATTTAAAAAAAAAAATTATTTTTTTTCTTATGAAATGATAGAGAATTTTTTCCCAATTGTAATGACACCAAAAGAACAAAATTTGATGGAAAACTGACGGAATTACGCTCTCGCGAAGTTATCGACCTCGGCGATATTTACGAATCGACGATTTTGCCCACATTGAGCCCTATTTTTGGCTAATTCCATTGGTCCAGTCGACCAAACTCTTAGCTATTTCTTTAGAACTCTATTTTTTCTATCTATTGAGTACAAGAAACTGCCCATTTACAGATTTCAACTACCCATTAACGTGGTCAGAAATTTGCAATTTGGCCAATTTCACAAAAATTAAAAAATATGACAATTTCAAAATAGGGTCCAGAATGAACAATGCAGACATTCCTGGCTCTAAAATAACATTTTCTTTGTTCATCAGTCACGTTTCCAGGCCCCTCTGATATTACTCTTGCTTTCTATTTTGAATTTTTATTCAAACAAAAAATAGAAGATTTACTGGTATGCAGACTACTGCAATATTGTAATAATTGTATAAATAATGTCAACCCATTCATGACTGCATATTAGAATGGCTACTTGGACATTTATTGGAAAATGACATTTGTTTACTTTTGAACATCGGCAAAAATCAAACATTTCCCCTACTTTGAGTTCCATTTCAAGGTTCTTTTCATAATAAAACCAATCAAAATCACCTCTATTTCTATAATATGCTTTCCATTCTATCAACTGAGACTAAGAAAACGAGAATACGTACAACCATAAATATTATACGAAAATAGACCACAAAGTCGGCATTTTAATTAAAAAAAATGGTCTGAGTTTATTTTTCTCATGCACTGCGTGCTGCAGGATTTTTTTTATATGGAGAGGGAGCATGGACACGGGGGTCGTCCCACAGTTACTAAAAACAACAGACATAGCCCCACTCCACAAAGGGGGCAGTAAAGCAACAGCAAAGAACTACAGACCAATAGCACTAACATCCCATATCATAAAAATCTTTGAAAGGGTCCTAAGAAGCAAGATCACCACCCATCTAGAAACCCATCAGTTACACAACCCAGGGCAACATGGGTTTAGAACAGGTCGCTCCTGTCTGTCTCAACTAATGGATCACTACGACAAGGTCCTAAATGCACTAGAAGACAAAAAGAATGCAGATGTAATATATACAGACTTTGCAAAAGCCTTCGACAAGTGTGACCATGGCGTAATAGCGCACAAAATGCGTGCTAAAGGAATAACAGGAAAAGTCGGTCGATGGATCTATAATTTCCTCACTAACAGAACACAGAGAGTAGTCGTCAACAGAGTAAAGTCCGAGGCAGCTACGGTGAAAAGCTCTGTTCCACAAGGCACAGTACTCGCTCCCATCTTGTTCCTCATCCTCATATCCGACATAGACAAGGATGTCAGCCACAGCACCGTGTCTTCCTTTGCAGATGACACCCGAATCTGCATGACAGTGTCTTCCATTGCAGACACTGCAAAGCTCCAGGCGGACATCAACCAAATCTTTCAGTGGGCTGCAGAAAACAATATGAAGTTCAACGATGAGAAATTTCAATTACTCAGATATGGTAAACATGAGGAAATTAAATCTTCATCAGAGTACAAAACAAATTCTGGCCACAAAATAGAGCGAAACACCAACGTCAAAGACCTGGGAGTGATCATGTCGGAGGATCTCACCTTCAAGGACCATAACATTGTATCAATTGCATCTGCTAGAAAAATGACAGGATGGATAATGAGAACCTTCAAAACTAGGGAGGCCAAGCCCATGATGACACTCTTCAGGTCACTTGTTCTATCTAGGCTGGAATATTGCTGCACACTAACAGCACCTTTCAAGGCAGGTGAAATTGTACAGAGAACTTTCACGGCGCGCATAACGGAGATAAAACACCTCAATTATTGGGAGCGCTTGAGGTTCCTAAACCTGTATTCCCTGGAACGCAGGAGGGAGAGATACATGATTATATACACCTGGAAAATCCTAGAGGGACTAGTACCGAACTTGCACACGAAAATCACTCACTACGAAAGCAAAAGACTTGGCAGACGATGCACCATCCCCCCAATGAAAAGCAGGGGTGTCACTAGCACGTTAAGAGACCATACAATAAGTGTCAGGGGCCCGAGACTGTTCAACTGCCTCCCAGCACACATAAGGGGGATTACCAACAGACCCCTGGCAGTCTTCAAGCTGGCACTGGACAAGCACCTAAAGTCAGTTCCGGATCAGCCGGGCTGTGGCTCGTACGTTGGTTTGCGTGCAGCCAGCAGCA